ATCCATGTGTTTTCTCTTCTTGCTGTCGCACATCAGCCTCCAGGGGCTGATCAATCTTGATAGTCCTCTATGTGGATATGGTGATACGCTCGTCGAGACGACCTTTCGTCGTGAAAAATGGCTTCCCGCTACCCCCCAGCCCCTTCTCTTGAGAATAGGCCATGTGGCATAATAAATCGACGCAGCATGGTGTGTTCTAGCCACGTGGCATCATCACTGGTCAGTCGTGATGATACTGTGGTACAACCCTCACAATGAAAAATGGCCTCCCACTACTATGAAGAAGCACAAAATTTGATGCATTTCGGTGGACATGACTCAAAAGGATATTTCTATAGGACGTCTTGGCGCTGGAATGGTACGATGTGGAGACCCACCGGTACACCGAATTTTTAGAGGGAGGAACGACTGGAGTGGTTGCCCCCGAAACACTGGAAAGGGTAACAAGTGGCACAAAGATGGGGGGAAGAGAGACAGAGAGAGAGAGAGAGAGAGAGAGAGAGAGAGAGAGAGAGAGAGAGAGAGAGAGTGATTAGTAACCTGCCTGTGGTTCATCATGGTTTGTGGTTTATCATGCTTGTGTTGGTGGTTTATCATGCTTTCTGCATGTATTGTAGTTTTTTCTTTTTTGGTCTGGTATTGGGAAAGAAACATCGAATGACAGGGGGGTTTTGTGCTTACCATGTTTTTTAACACCTTTTTTGCTTTTCTTAGTTTTAACAAAGCAGGGAATCGTAGGACAGGTAGTTCATTATGCTTTCTGTTATTTTCACCTTTTTCCCAATATTCTTTTGCTGCCGAAGCTGCAACAGGTCATCTAGTAATCTGTTTGGAGTTGCTGTTCAGTTTGTTGTTCAGTTTGCCAGATTGCAGTGCTTGTGTTGTGCAGCTGAATATAGACTATCAGGCAGGTGCACTGTCTGGAGTGCAGCACTCATGTTGCAAAGCTGCACATTGACTCTCAGGTTCAATAGAACGCTTGCATTTGGAAGGGATGTGCGCAGGTTCAGTAGATCTGGTCTGCAACAGCCTTCCCTGGCTGTGTGTGCTGTGTGCTGTGTGTGCTGTGTGTGTCGTGGACGTCCTTTTCATCATAGCACTGGCCACTGCTGTTTCATGCAGGTCGAACTCGTCATAAAAGTTCAGAAACCCCTTAACTCCAGACTTGTTTCTGCACCCTGCCCATGAATAGGAGGTGAATTGGGTGGGAGAAGAAGAGACTGACTTGCAACGGCAGCAGAGACGTCAAGAAAGCACAGTACTGTCTCCACAATTCCCATTTTGGCCCAGTATCGGCTTCCTAGGGCCTGGTATTGGCTTCCTGGGGCCTGGAGCCCGCTAGTGGCTTCCTGGGGCCTGGAAAGGGCCGTTGTAGGCTTCCAACGCCAGGGGGCAAAACATAAAGACGACCTGGCCCGGTAGGGGTAAAACGAAAATAATCAGGGCCTGGGAAAAGTTGGCAGGTGCTGGGACATTTTGCAAAGATGGGCAGTACCCGGTAGGGGCATTTTGAAAAGATGGCGGGTCCAACCGACGCCAGGGGGCATTTCACAAAACATTTTTTTGGTCAGAGGGGTATTCCGCTCTACCCATATAACTCAAGTTATAGGGGTATTTTGCAAATTATCCCAATAAAATATAATAATAATATAATATAATATACTTATAATAATAACTAGCTAAGCGCCCGCGGTGCGGGCGGTGCGGGCAATGCCCGCAAAAAAAAAAAAAAAAAAAAAAAAAAAAAAAAAAAGAGAGACACAAATAGAGAGACATAGATGAGTAAGAAAAGAGATACAGATAGAGAGGCATAGAGGAGTAAGAAAACAACTTAGCGCCCGGGGTGGGGACGGTGCGCGCAATGCCCGCAAAAGTAAGAAATGTTGTAGGCAACCTGACACAGAGCACTAGCATAAACTCAAACAAACAATCAAGAGAGGGAGAGAGCACCAAGAAAAGAGCAAAGAAAGTGAGGAATTGAAGAAAGTGACAAATCGAGAAATCCAACAAAAAAAATAGGAGAAAGGGCGAGGAGACACAGGCGCAAACAAAGAGAGACAAAAAGAAAGGAAAAAATAGAGACATGGAGAGAGAGAGAGAGAGAGAGAGAGA